GGGGCACGGCGGAGCCGACCCTCGACGCAAGGCGTGCACGGTGGCGCAGTCGAGGGGGGAAGTGCGGGGAGCGACTCGGGGAGGCCTAAGGCGAGACCGTGCTGAGACATGTGACGCAGGCGCGGGAGAGCAGGGTGACCTAAGTGGTAGTGCCACAGAAGGGACGGGTGTGTGAGGGACCGACACGAGCAAGCTTCAGCGACCTGGGAGGACGCACCAGCCGGGGGGGAAGCGGTGTCAAGGGTAAACAGACCGGACACCGGGTCCCAGGGGAACGTCGCAAGGGGGGAACCTGAGACAGCCTTGGTACAGACAGCGAACCGCTCGTGCCCAAGGAACTTAGTGGTGACGCCGAGGTCCTGAAGACAGCCGACACCAGCCAGGTTCCTGGAGAACGAGGGAACGTGGAGGCCTGTAAGAGAACTCGAAGGAACGGCTGGACAGGGAAGGGAAGTGGAGCTACGAGCGACGACAGGACCCGCAGAGGGGTCAGCGAGAGCGACGACAGCAGGCGCAGCAAGCGGCGTGAGAGTGGAGTGGTCGCGGAAGAAACAGGCAGAAGCACCGGAGTCGAGAGTGAAGGACAGCAAGGCAGTAGCGGAGGCCGGGAACGGAGCCGGTGCAGAAACTAGGCTAGGCAAACTAGGCAGTCCTACGCCTGATGCAGCAGGGGAGGCTAAGCTACACAAGGGTGCTACACCTAAACTAGAGGACACAGGGTAATGAGATCCAGCAACATTAGAAGCGTCAGCATACAAGGCATGCAAAGCAGCACCTATCTGATCCATATCTAACTCAAAGATCGGCACGCCCTGGCGAAGCAGGCTGTGCCAGTCGGGGAGGTCCGGGGCCGGGCCAAGGCGACGACGAAAGAGATCGTCGAGGTGGCGGAAACAGCGGGCGGTCAGGTGCGGGCGGCGGCACAGAGTGCCGCAGAGAGGCCCGGTCTGAAGCTGGTACTGGCAGGTCACACCAACGGAGCTGCCGGTAGACGCCAAGCTGCGCGGGCCGCCACCACCTACGGAGGTGCTGGGCCAACCCGGCGGGAGACGAGCCCACGGCGGGGGCTGGGACAGCTGCTGCAATGACTGCGACTGCTGCGACGGCTGCTGCGGCTGCTCCTGCTGCTGGGACGACGGCTGTTGCTCCTGACTAGCTGCGGCAGTCCCCTTAGTAGAACCACTGTCCCCGGCACCACCACCACCACCACCAGCTCCACCACCACGCCCTCCCTGGCGACCACGACCGGCGCGGCGTGGACGCTGCTGCGGGTGGACCGCAGCTGCATTCTCAGTCAGAAGGGTCGTAGTGGCGACCGCAGCCAAAACGTCAGTAAACGTGCACTGGGAGGGGGCACAGTCGTGAAAGATAGAGACTGCTGGCGCACCGCTCGACTGAGCGATAGTGCGCTGGCGAGTCTCGATCTCGGTCAGGGCAGTGACAAAGGCTGTCAGGGTGAGATCACCCGGGTGCTGGCTAAGGATGTGGTCGCGTGCACTAGCAAGGCGGTCAGGCAGGCGCATAGCGATAAAGTAGAGGGTCATGCAGAAGGGGGGGGGGGAGCGCAGTGAGCTAGTCAGCAGTGCTAGCAGTGCGGTAGCGAGACTCTAGGGCTCGCAGGTGAGTGGCAAGGTCAGCAACAGTAGGGAAGGAAGCAAGATCTGGGAAAAGGATAGGGAAGAGCAGGCGGCCTGCAGTAGCGAAGGCATGCGTGGAATAGCGAGCAACAACAGCATCTAAGTAAGCCCTGACTGTATCAACTGTAGCGAAACGCGAACGCTTAGACACAGGGAGGGCGTGACTGATAGCGACCTCAGCAACTACATCGCGAGAGTCCCAGACGGCACAGGCAAGTGCAGGAGCAGAGAAAGCCTCACGCTCAGCAGAGGTGGGGTCAGCAGGGAGGGGAGCAGGCGTAGGGGGACGGGGGAGCAAGCCATCAACATGGACAACCAAGGAGTGCCCATCCTGGCGTTGACCTGTGAGTTGACGGCGGAGATCGGACAGCCAGGCGGCGACGTCAACCGCGTGGCCCTCAGCATCCAGGCGGAGTATGAAGTCAACCATCGTGCAGGGTCAGCGACACAGCGACACAGTGACACAGCGACACAGCTCCACAGGACACAGTGGCAGAGGGACACAGCAGCACAGCTCCAGGAGGACGTCTGCAAGACGCTCCAGCGCGAGCAAGCAGAAGACACGGGGCCGGAGACTCGAGGAACCGTGCCGAGCAGAAGACACGGGGCCGCAGGAGCCGGGCGGGTACTGGGAGCTGCGGGCCGCAGGAGCCGGGGGGGGGGCGTATCGGGGCCGGGCTGGCGCTAGGAGGGGCCAAGCGGGCACTAGGAGGGGTCGGGCAAGCGCTAGGAGGTGCCGGGCGGGTGCTAGGAGGGGTCGGGCGGGCGCTAGGAGGAGCCGGGCGAGCGCTAGGAGGGGCCGGGCGGGCGCTAGGAGGGGCTAGGTACGGGGCGAGAGGCTAGGGCACGGGCGGAAGTGGGTGGGTGGACCTAACCTACTCGTGATACCATGTTAGAATGCGAGAATAATTGACTAGTGTGAGAAACCTAGAACATATACCTGTTGGGGTTGTACTCACTAGAAGCACACACCTAGGCTAGCCTATAACTTCTACAAATAGCATATGTATAAGTTGACACCCACACACACCCACACCCCCTAACCTAGCACCCCCATTTCCATCAGCAGCCGCGATGACTCCGAAATCGGTCAACACCCACGGCCCGGGAGATGGCAATGGCGGCAGGCACAGGAGTGACGAGAGCAACGGCGGCGGTGTGCGGCGGCAATTGGCCAGCGGCAACAGCGGCGGCGGCGGCGGCTTCAACATTAGAGGCGGCTGCAGCAGCCCCCGCCCTCTCGGCGGCATGGCCAATCTCATAACAGCTATGGGAAGGCCCTCACGAGGCAGTCGACGGCTGTGGCAAGTGAAAGAATTCGAAAGGTGGTGTAGGAGACGAAGTATAGAATCTGCAGACATAAGTACTTGAAGTAGAAAGTAATACTGGAAGTACCTCCAGTAACAACCAGTATTAACAAGTTGTAACACCAGAGTCCGTGTTATAGCCTTGCGATACTTCAAGACTTAACCAAGGATCTTTGTTGGAATGGTAGACTAGTAAGACAGCGGAAGTCTTAGAACTTGTGAAGTGTTGACCAGAATTTACTGAAGAACAAGTTAATAAATGGAAGTTGTACAAGCTATTTTTATATTTGCTAGAATTACCTATTCGGTGATGTACCTGTTCGAGCTATTTGCGCTATGTGCTCTAACTGCTGCTGAAAAGAGCGCGACTGTTCGCGTGACTGAAACGGCTTGCTGACTTAATCATCAAGACGAGCGCTATTTGCTGACGTCATTCTACGGATGCTAACTACAGTGTAACTCGACAATATCTATCGGAACTACTTACAGAAATGCTGAAGTACGATTTTACCACAACAGCAAGGAAGAGGGTGTCAACGTATACATACAGTATATTGTTATGTAGAAGTTATAGGCTAGATAGGGTATGTTCTTAGTGGGTACAACCCAAACGCTATATCCCCTCTGTTCTCCCTTCTTCTATTCAGTCTTTCTAGACTTAACATGGTATCACGAGTAGGTAGGTCCACCCAACCACTTCCGCTCCGTGCCGCCACCTACTGGACCCTCGCGCCCCTAGCTGGCCCCGCGCGCCCCTATGGCCCCGTCGCGCCCCTAGCAGGCCCCGTCGCACCCCTACGGCCCCGTCGCGCCTATAGCAAGCCCCGACGCGCCCCTACGACCCCGTCGCGCCCCTACAGCCCCGTTGCGCCCCTACAGCCCCGTCGCACCCCTAGCAGGCCCCGTCGCGCCCCTACGGCCCCTCGCGCCCCTAGCCGGCCCCGTCGCGCCCCTAACCCCGTCGCGCCCCTACGGCCCCATCGCGTCCCTACGGCCCCGTCGCGCCCCTAGCCGGCCCCGTCGCGCCCCTACCGGCCCCGTCGCACTCCTACGGCCCTGTCGCGCCCCTAGCCGTGATCGGTGAGGGGCACGTGATCGACTTCGCCACCTGGCTCATTGACCTCCGCCGGCACCTAACAGGTCAGCGCTAGGATGGGCACTCCCTGGCTATGCATGTTGATGGTTTGCTTCCCCGCCCCCCTCAGCCTGATCCCCTCCCTGCTGACACTACCACTACTAAGAGAGAGGCTTTTGCTGCTGCTGCGCTTGCTCGAGCTGTCTGGGATTCTTGCGACGCAGTAGCCCAGCTTGCCATTAGCCATGCCCTCCCCCTGTCTGAGCGTCCGCGCTTTACCGCTGTCGCGCCCCTAACCCCGTCGCGCCCCTACGGCCCCGTCGCGTCCCTACGGCCCCGTCGCGCCCCTAGCCGGCCCCGTCGCGCCCCTACCGGCCCCGTCGCACTCCTACGGCCCTGTCGCGCCCCTAGCCACTACGCCCCCTCACGCCCCTAGCCGGCCCCGTCGCGCCCCTACCGACCCCTCGCGCCCCTAGCCGGCCCCTCGCGCCCCTACGGCCCCTTGTGCTCGTACCGACCCCCCCTCGGTGTCCCTAGCTGGCCCCACGCGCCCTTGCCGGCCCCGCTCGCCCTAGCCGGCCCCTTGTGCCCTTGCCAGCCCCCTGCGCCCTAGCCGGCCTCGTCTGTCACAGGATCGAATGTGTCGAGGAAAGGTTGCACTATCGATCAGTACAAGGCGCTTTTATACTTCCAGAGTACATCAGGTAACCAGGTTTATCTTATCCTAAGGGAATAGACCCTTCTAGAAGATAGAATCACCCTGCGTATAGCCACGCGAGGCTATTGGCTTTAAGGGATTACAGCAGGATTACGCTAGATAGAGCGCACCAATACATCCCAAGCCTGGTCGGTGATATAATGATAATAGCAGGATAAACCAAAGGTTAATAGAAAAGGAAGAATAGGAAACCAAATGAGATGCGGTAAAAAGAGAAATGAAAAGGGAAGGAAATAAGAAAAGGCCAAGTGGTGTAACGGGGTCGTACTCTCACACTTCCCCCCCTCAAAGCTGGGTGGTAGAAGTAACACCCTGCTTGACAAGGTAGTCATGCAGAGGACGACGGGCGTTACCCATGTCGGACTCAGGTACCCAGCTGTCCTCAGAAGGATCATAACCCTTCCAACGGATGAGAAGCTCCACGGTGCCATTCCGACGACGACGATGTGCAAGCACGGACTCGACCTCGTACTCGGGTTCGTTCTGGACGAGGACGGGCGGCGGCGGCGGCGGCTGACGTCCCACGAAGATCGTGTTAGGATCTCGATAGGGCTTCAAAAGTTGGACATGGAAGGCGTTGTGAATCTTCCAGGTAGCTGGCAGGCGTAAGCGGAAGGTAACAGGAGTGACCTGTGCTTCAACGAGAAAAGGCCCGCAGAAGCGAGGTCGAAGTTTAGATGGGAGGTGGCTGATGTCCAAGTTGCGGGTGTCAAGAAGCACCTGGTCTCCCACCGTGATGGTGTGATCGTTGCGATGGCGATCGGCTTGGCGCTTCTGTTGCTGTTGAATATCGAGTAGGCGCTTGTGGGTCCGATCCCAAAGCTGGTGCATGGTTGTAATGAAATCATGTGCGGGTTGGACTGTAGCTGATGCTGTCGGTTTTTGTGGTGTGAGTGGGTGGCGTCCGTAGCAGAGGAAGAACGGCGTCTGTCCAGTAGCAGCATGTGTAGCATTGTTGTAAGCAAACTCGAGTACGGGCAGGTGCAAGTCCCATTTGGAGATGTCGTCCTTGCAGGCTGCTCGGAGGAGTTGCTCAACAATTTGGTTGAGGCGCTCGGTCTGTCCGTCTGTCTGCGGATGGTATGCGGATGACATGGCGAGTTTGGTCCCGAGAAGAGACATAAGTTCCTTCCAGAACTTGCTAGTGAACTTGGGGTCTCGGTCGGAGATGAGTGTAGTTGGGATGCCATGCTGTGAGATGATGTGACGAACGAAGAGTTGTGCTGTCTCCTCGGTGCGTGCCGTCGTGTGTGTCGGGATGAAGTGTCCCATTTTGGAGAACTTGTCAATGACGACAAGGATGGCGTCATGACCGCTGGAGGTAGGTGGTAACCCGGTGATGAAATCTAGGCTAACCACTTGCCATAGTTGTTCTGGGACAGGAAGAGGCTGCAGTAGTCCCGCCTTTTTCTGCTTGCTGCTCTTCATCCGCTGACATGTATCACACGAGGTGACGAATTTCTGGACGTCGTCTGCCATATGGGGCCAGTAGTAGTGTTTGGCGATACCGGTGAGCGTCTTGTTGCTACCGAAGTGGCCCGCGTACAGGACGTCGTGGTATTCTTCGAGTAGTAACTGGCGCAAAGGAGGGTAATTGGGTACCCAGATTTTTGTGGATCCCTTCCGGTATGCGATGTCATTGTCCCACTGTAGCAGATGTCGCTTTTCTGCCAAGGGAATTTCGGGGTCGATGGGCGTACCCGTGGGTGAAGAGTCCCTTGAGTAGTGGATTCATCCCTTCGATCTGAATTGCGGCAACGGTGTGCAGGCCGGCTGAGAGCGTCTGCTTTGTTCTTGTGGCCGGGCTTGTACACGATGTCGTAGTGGAAGTGTGTCTCGAGGAAGTCGATCCACCGGACCTGCCGCCTGGAAAGGTTGGGTTGTGTCTTCAAATATTTCAGGCTGCAGTGGTCGGGTGTAGACGGTCGTTCTTCGTCCTTCGAGATAGCATCTCCACGCTTTGAAGGCGATGACGATAGCAAGAGCCTCTTTGTCGTGTATCGGGTAGTTGAGTTCTGCCCCGTGCAGTTTCTTTCTGAGGTAGGCAATTGGTTGCAGTCCATTCCCCTGGTCTTGCATCAAGACTGCTCCCACGGCCTGATCACTGCGTCTGCTTCAATGACGTAGTCACGTTCGGGATCTGGCAAGATGAGTACCGGTGCGGATGTCAGTGCTTGTTTCAGTTGCTCCACGGCTTCCTGGTGCTTCGTCTCCCATTGTAGGACGTGTTCTTCTTCAGCAGATTCGTGAGTGGGTGCCGCGAGTTTTGCATACTGTGGCACGAACCTGTTGTAGTAATTAGCAAAGCCTAGGAACTGCTGCAACTCCTTCACGTTCTCGGGTGTCTTCCATGTACGTACGGCTTCGATTTTCTTGGGGTCGACGTGAACTCCTTGAGCGCTCACCAGGTGTCCTAGGAATTGGACCTTTTCAAGGGCGAATTCGCTCTTGGACAGTTGACGTAGAATCGTTCCCGTCGAAGAATTTCGAAGACGCGTCGCAGGTGTTCGACGTGCTGCTTCATGTCGCGCGAGTAGATGAGTATGTCATCCAGGTACACCACCACGCATTCGTCCAGAAGTGGTCGTAGAATGTGGTTCATTTCGGCTTGGAACGTTGCCGGCGCGTTGGTGAGTCCGAACGGCATGACCAAATACTCGTACGATCCGTACCGAGTTCGGAAAGCAGTTTTGTGGATAGAGTTGTCCGCCATCCGTATCTGCCAGTATCCGGACCGCAGATCCAGTTTGGAAAATACCGTAGCTCCCCGAAGCTGGTCAAGCAGGTCATCGATTCGCGGTATCGGATATTTATTCTTGATGGTCTGCTTGTTAAGAGCTCGGTAGTCGATGCACATGCGCAGGCTTCCGTCCGGTTTCGGTGTGAAGAGTACTGGGGCACCGTACGGCGAAGTGGATGGTCGGATGAGTCCTTTGGCTAGGAGATACTCGATCTGCTTCTTCATGTCGGTCAGCTCCGTAGGGCTGAGCCGATATGGTGCTCGGAAGGTCGGCTTCGAACCCGGTTCCTCCACGATCTCGTGTTGATGCGTTCGGTATGGCGGTAGCTCGTTCGGAAGATCGTCAGGAAGAATGTCTTGGAACTCCTTCAGTAATTCCTTGATTTTTTCTGGAGTTTCCGAGGCTTTCTCTCCGTCATTCTCCACCTCTGTTGCTATCGCCAGGAACCCGGTGTCGGTCCGCTTCACGTCCTTCTCGAATCGTGCGAGTGTCTCCACTGGGATATCTCCAGTGTATCGTCCCAGTTGGGTAGCTGTACTCTCCGTCCATTGTTGTAGATGCTTGCGGTGCGGTTCACCCAGTTGATCTCGGGGTTGAATCTTTTCAGGAAGTCTCGCCCGAAGATCAAGTCAAGCCCTTTGATGTTGGTGATGGGGAGTGCAGGTCTCCAGCGCAGTGGTCCAATTTGTAGATGTAGCACTGCTTCGCCGTGTACTGGTAACTTGCTGCCGTCCACCATCGTTGCAGAGAATCCTGAAGGCTTGTACTCTTCCCGAAGTCGGTCGATCATTGCCTTGTCGCAGACGGTGTGTGACGCTCCGCTGTCCACGAGTGCTTGGAGGCGTCGTCCTTTGCAGATGACCTCGAGCACGAGGGGCAGTCGTTGCTCGGAGTACCCAAAGATAGTTTCATTGATTGGGTCATAGGGTACATCCCAATATTCCGTACACACCTTTGTGTTGCTGTCTACTCCTGAGCTGGCAGCTGGCCGAGGCTGCTTGGAGAACGGCTCTTCTCCAGGGCCCGGAGTTTCCTTGACGACTGTGCGCGTCACTGATGCCGAAGAACTGGATGCATCCGTAGGAGGAGTTCGGGGTTTGTGCAGCTTCTTGTAGACCCCCAGCTTCCTCTTGAGCTGCTTCAGCTCCACCGACGTCTTCCCTGGGGAGCGGGTAGTCGTTGTGGGCTGGTGTCGGGAGAGGACGTTGACTCCGTGGAAAGGTCGGCTTCTTTCCACACTCCTTAATTTGGTCCCCAAGTTGTCCGGTACCGGTATAATCTCCACAGCTGTCTGCTTCTTTTGGAGTCCCTCCCGAAATTTCTCCAAGGCTCTAGCCCCTCGAACATCATAAGTTTTCATTAAAGCATCTTTATAAGATAACTTTAACGAATTCTTATAATTTCTTGGGTCTTCAAGGAGTTTCCCTGTCTCGGCAGAGTCTTTTTTCGCGGAGTCGTATTTTTCCTCGGCGATTTTCCCTGGCGAAGACTGGTCGTGGGGTGGAGATTTTCCCCCATCATTTCCTCCTTCTCGCGTCGAATCAGCTTCGTCGAAGTTGATTTTTCCGGAATCCCGCGGCCGCTTTCGGATCTTTTTATTTTCGCCAGCTAGATCCGCAATCACTGGCGACTCCCGTTTTTTGTCTTCTGATTGGCCGAAAGATTTCCGCCACTGTTGCGTGCCCGATACTCTGCGCGTGCGGCCTTCATTTTGTTGCAGTCGAAGATTCGGTGGCCCGGCACCCCGCAAAAATCACACGTGTAGTTGGTGTTTTTCGGACGTGGCCGCCCCTCGAATCTGTCGACTTCCATCGGGTCGGCGAACGTGGGTGAGCCGAGCGGTCGCCCTGTCGCGTACTGCCGACGTGCGTCCGTCGTGTTCCGGCGTTGACCATGTCGAAGCGCTCCGCTGCCGAAACGACGTCACTGTAGCTCGCGTAGTTTGACGCTGCGACTTGTCGTTTGACTTCGGTCTTCAGCCCGGCGAGGTACGATTGTACTTTTTCCCCTTCGGTCAGGTCGGGAATGCGGTTATAAAATTCTCCATCTGCTGCGTGTACTGTGCTACACTCCCGAACTGTCGATGCGATGAATTTTTTCCGGGCAAGGAAACTGAATTTATCGGCTCGAAGCGTTTCAGCAGGTCGGCGCGGAACTGCTGCCACGTGGCTTCACCGTGGATGAAGGTACTGTTGCCGCCAATCCACTCGAGTGCCGGCCCTCGCATCAGTGTCGCCGCGAGTCGTACACGTTGACCGTCCCAGACTGGCGAGCTCCATCCGACGGCTGCGAAGTAGATCTCCATCCCGGCGATCCATCTGCGGGCGTCGGAGTTTCGATCGCTCGGATCGAACGGCTCAGGTGGGCGCGGTTTCGGAGCCTCGAGAAAGAGCTGCGTTGCTGCGACTGCTGCGACTGCTGCGTCGTCGCCGTTGTCGTCTCGTGCTGCGCTCCGGCGAGTCGAGTTACTCGCTCGAACTGGTTTCGCCACGCTTCGCGATCCGCTCGCATTTCCTCCTGAAGGGCTGCGATGCGCGCGAAGAGCTGCTGGGTAACCTCGGCGTTGTCGAAGGTTGCCATCCTGTTCAAAACACGCACGGAGGGGGTAATTCGAAAATCGCGGAGCTGGTGCTTACCAGAATCGGCGTCGAATTGGTCGCCCCGGCGGTTTTTCGAGGCAGGATCCCCGCTGCTGCTGCTTAGCTGAGCGCGGCCGAGTGAGAAAAGCTCTGATTACCAAGTGTCACAGGATCGAATGTGTCGAGGAAAGGTTGCACTATCGATCAGTACAAGGCGCTTTTATACTTCCAGAGTACATCAGGTAACCAGGTTTATCTTATCCTAAGGGAATAGACCCTTCTAGAAGATAGAATCACCCTGCGTATAGCCACGCGAGGCTATTGGCTTTAAGGGATTACAGCAGGATTACGCTAGATAGAGCGCACCAATACATCCCAAGCCTGGTCGGTGATATAATATAATAGCAGGATAAACCAAAGGTTAATGGAAAAGGAAGAATAGGAAACCAAATGAGATGGTAAAAAGAGAAATGAAAAGGAAGGAAATAAGAAAAGGCCAAGTGGTGTAACGGGGTCGTACTCTCACA